TTTAGGACATCCCAGAGCCCGGATGCTGAGTCGCGGCGCCCCCTAGTGTTCAGTGTTTCATCAACGCTGTGCTTAATACAAGTTTTGTGTAAGAGTGCGGGGCAAGAGTGGATGACAGATGTGGGTGAGAAATGACAACCGAATATGATGGGCTGTACGACAGAAAGAAGCAAGGGCAGGAGAGGCAGAGAGGGAGAGTACCGAGTCACATCAAGGAGTCACATCTAGAGCCTGGCACACAGTAGGTGTCCGGTACATAGGAGATGTTTAATGCATTTTGAGCAGATGATTAATACAATGACCATATGAGGCAAATGTTACCGTGATCATTTAGAGAAACAAACAAGGAGGCTGGTGGTCTGAGAGGCAGTACAGCTAGTGCGTGGCAGAACCAGGGTTTGTGCGCTCCGGAGCCAGTCTGCCGTCCAGCGGAGGAGGGTGGGCCCTCAGGAGGCTGCTGTCTCACTGGCATCCTCCACACCCTCCCTGTCTTCACCGCTGTCCCAGGCCTGCCAGGGACGCCTATTTATGGCTCAGGGATGTGGTCCAGTGAAGCTCCCCTCGTAAATCATAAAGGCAGACACATGTGGGCCAGGATTGGGGAATTCAGTGTGTGAGGGATCCCCAGGAATCTTGCTCAGTCTAATCAGGGATTTTCCTGCTCTTCCCCAGGACAGCAGCTGACACAGGCAGCAGGCATCTGCTGGGCTTCAAGTGAGCTCCTGGCCTCTCCAGTCCCTGCTGCTAAAGCCCTGGGCCCCGACTGCTGTCCACTCAGAGGCAGTCTCTCCACTCCCAAATGGGGGTGATCCTTCACGTGAGCACCCCAGCATCTCCATGAGGAAGGTTTGAAAAGTGCTGTGCTCCCTGGAACCTGCTCTGGCTTCAGGAGGGTGTTCAGCCCTCCCCTGGCAAGAAGGTCATGAATGGGCCTCAGAATGTACGCCCTGGTCCTGCACGGCTACCCCTTCCCCCAGCATTTGCTTTTATTTATTTATTTATTTATTTATTGAGTTCTTAAGCCTATTTTTTCAGTATCCCATCCTTTCTGTCACTGTCAGACTGTTACTTAGCTGCTGCCTGCCTGAGTGCTGCTGGAACCTTTTTCTTTCCTTCCAACTCCCGGCTTCAAACCCCAAAGGTGACAGCTTTCTGTGCACTCTCGAAGCAGCTTTGCAGGAAGGGAGACTCCTGTGATTCCTCCTTCCAGGAGTTTAATGTACAAACTTGTATGGCGGCCTTTGGGCTCCCTGTTTGAGATGCTCAAACTGGTGGTGTTTTTGTTTGGATGGAGAGGAGGCTATCAGAAGTCAGGTCTCCCCTTGGGAGAGGTCACGCCAGGCATCCCTTTGTACCTTCCCTGAGACAAACACTTGCAGAAGAATGCCAGAGTTGGCTTCTTTTCTGAACCACTCTGCTTCCTACAGCAGCAACGACAGCCAGTGGGGGACCTAGCGTGGGAGACCCGGCAAAGGGACAGGGGAGAAGGCCAGGAACCGCCGCAACAGCAGCAGGACGGCAGCCCACTGCTGACAGAGAGGCTAGTCTCAAATTGCACCATATCAGAGCTCTGGCATAAAATTAGCACCAGCATTCTCTGTGAGAGGAGCCAGAGAAATACTCATATTCAGCAGAACCATGCAGGGACCGAAGAAAGAGAGAGAAAGGGCCTGTCAGGGGAAGGGACACACCCGTGTCCCTTGCTGCAGAGGTGGCTGTCCAGTGGCTGAATCAGGGTCACGGGAGGGCTCAGCGGGGTTGGGCCAGAGGGAGGCAAGAGCTAGGAAGACCCAGAGTCCTGAACGTGACAGCTTGCCTCACCCAACACACACACACACACACACACACACACACGCACGCACGCACGCACGCACGCACACACACACCCTGGAACTGCAGAAACATGAAAAAGAAATTTGCAAGGATCTCAGTATGTTTCATATACATTTTTTTCATTATTTTTTTTTTTACCACAACCCCACCAAGTAAGCCTGTCTTTGCAGATGAGTAAGGGAAGGTTCAAAGAGAGCCTTGCGGTGTGCTGGGGACATTGTGACTGCAAGCATTAGGGACCCGCTTAGATTCACATGTCCAAAGATCTTCTTCCTGCTCACGGCATCCCTGCCGGATGCATTACACAATCTTTTCTAGACACAATATAAACACACACGCACCTTCGCCTACACATGATCTGTGTTGGTGTGCAGATGTGGTTTCTCAATACACATGGGATATGCGCACAATTTACACAATCTCATGTCAGCTCGGAACCACAGCTTCTTGCTGAAATGGCCCTGTCACTTCCTGTCTCTCTTGACCAATGCCTCCTCTCCCACCGGCCACGGCCAGTGCCTGTCCCTCTCCATGCTGGCTGCCAACAGACCTGTCCTCTTGCCGCTTGGTTTGTGGGTGGCTACTGTAGCCACAGTCTGGTTGGAGTTGGAGTTGGGATCATTTCTGGCTCCTCGGGTATGAATTCTTCCATATGTGGGCTCTGTGTGCTGCCTATCATAGCATACAGGTTCTTTATGTGATTTGTAATTTCAATCTGTGAGCTCCCTGCAGGCCCAGTAACTCCAAACTATTTTTATGGAGTGCTTCCGTGGAGGATTTCTGCACTGAACGGGCAGCTTAGTTTGAGACCTCACACTGGTGCAGGTTACAAGCTTGAGGCTCGGGCTTGGGGTGACATCCCTCATTCCAGCCACAGCCTGGAAGGTACCTCAACCCCTGTGGTGACCCCAGATTGATCACTGAGTAGTACTGGTCCCATAATTGGTTCTGGCACCCAGCTTCATATTGGGGGCCTGGGTTTGAATTCATGACAACAGTAGGACTTGTGGTAGCCTGAATCTAGTCCCAGACTAGATGTTAAAATTTCAGCCCCTGCTCAGATTTGGTGGCACACGCCTGTGATCCCAGCACTCTGGAGGCTGAGGAAGGAGAATCACTGAGAGTTTGAGGCCAGCCTGGGCTGCATAGTGAATTCAAGATCAGCCTGAGCTACGTCGTGAGACCCTGTCTCAGCCAGTCAGTCAATCAATCAATCAATCAATCAATCAATCAATTTCAGCCCTCAGTACTCTGGAGGCTGAGACATGAAGATCAAAAGTTCTAGCCCAGGCTGAGTGATTTCATGCTTAGAGAGGCTCCATCTCAAAGTGAAAAATGAGAATATATAGCTCAGTATCAGTGCCCTGGGTTCAGTTTCTAGTACTGCCAGACAAAACAAATAAAACCACAATGCAACAGAACACTACACCTCATCCCAATAACATGTATCAACCCCTACTGTTCCCATGGGCTACGTGGGGCTTGAGCCCCTTTTGCTGATATAGCAAGGGTAAGACCTGTGAAGTATGCATTCTTGTTTTTTTGAGCTGGGCTTTGTATGTTTAAAATACCTAAGAACATGCTAGCTGGCATTCTTCCGAGTTTGGAGTGCCATGGGACGTTTCACCTTCCACTCATCCTGACATCTTGATTTACCTCAAAGGCTTCCTTCAACAAACAGTTTTTCTTTTCTTGTCCCCTCCTCTGACTCCCTTCAGTTCTGGGTCAGGAGGCCCTGAAGGATGCTGAGCTCAGCAGCACCCATGGCTCTGCCGAGCTGGGTGACCTCCCTGGGCCAGGGCTGTGGGACTGGGTACACAGAAGCTTCCATCCTGGGCTCTATTTGTGTAGCTGGGTGGAGCAGGGACAAGTTCCAGAGAAAGGGCTTGAGGCTGCCAGCGCTCCCCGTTCTTGAATAAGACAGCCCACAAGCGCCCTGAGGATGGGCCCTGTCCCATGTCCTTTGTCTGGGATGTGAAAGATCTTGGGGGGAACCCCAGATCTTTCTTCTGGGCTGGCTCTGTCTCAACAGAGCCCTGTCCAACTCCGACATGGGTTTCAGGCAGAGGAGCAGCAGCCCGGGCTGTCAGAAAGGCCCATGGAGGCCCAAGTCACCTGCTTCCTCATCCTTTTCCGCCCTGCTGTGTGTCAGTTCTGTGACCACAGTGCCTGTGTGCACACAGATATTTTTTTAAAAGAAATTATTTATTTATTTATTTATTT